GTACAGAGAGGGAGGCAGGGGCGGCCACCAGCCTGTACGATGTGTACATATGCACATATACACTTAGTAGTACCTGTATAGTAATTCCTACACACGTATACCTGCCCATGCACACCGTGCAGGTGGGACACGCCTGGGTGAGGGTGGGCAGATGTATAGCATATATTTTTACATGTACTATATCTAGATGTGTGTAAAAGTGTGTGTAAAAATATATACCCTGTGTGTAAGCAGATGACTATTTTTTCCTTATCTCCCTGCTCTCTGGGTAGAGGAAGGATTGCTAAATATTTTTTAGCCCGTTTTTCCCTTTGTAGGTCTCCTTTTCTGGCTTCTCAGAGCCAGAGCTGCCACTATGCGATATTTTGCCACCCCCTCACACTAAAGGTTTTTGTCCCATCCTGAGGGATCTTGCTGGGGATTTTTTTTTCTTCACATGTTTGAACAAGTTGGGAGATTGTATGCTACTGTCGTGGGGGTGGAGGTGGAATCCCAGAGGTTTCAGTGAGAGTGTTGGCGATCCAGAAGGCAAAAAATAAATAAAAGTGAAATCCTGAATGCTGTCTGAGCATTGTGTGCTGTCCTAGGTTGTCCATGAGATGTTTCTGCCCACAGCCCTAAATTCTGAAATGTGGGGCTGGATTCCCATCAAAGAATGATTCAAATTCGACATCAGGTTGGGGGGTCGGGGGGTTGGGCTCTTCTCACAAGGATAAAAGGACAGGACAAGAGGAAACAGCCTCAAGTTGTGCCAGAGGAGATGGGATATTAGGGAAAGCTTGTTCATGGAAAGGGTGGTGAGGCCCTGGCACAGGCTGCCCAGGGCAATGCTGATCACCATCCCGGAGTGGTTCAAAAGGGGTGCAGGTGTGGCACCTGGGGACAGAGGTCAGTGAGGTTGGGGGATGTGGTGAAGGCTGGACTCTCACTTTGGAGGCCTTTTATAACCTTGATGATTCTGCGTGGGTAGAAACACTGTTGTGTTGCACTGTCAGGTTTTTGGGAGGGTTGTAAAGATACCGTTTTAGGGAGTACCAGGGAAATGTGGGATTTTGGGGTTGGTTGGTTGGTTGGTTTGTTTTAACTTTTAAAATTTTTGTTTTATTTACTCTTCCCAGAGTGTCTGAGGCTGCTGCTGGGAGCTGTCCTGGAGAGCTGCCCCTTTCCAGGGTCAGTGAGCATCAGCCCAGCCCCCCAAATTGTTCAGTGACAGTCACGGCCCAGGGTGGGGTTGCTGGGTGGGCAGGGAGCTGCGGGCTCGGGGGGCTGTGCCCACCTCACTCATTTGTTTGCTGCCCCTCAGAGAGAGGAGCTCCCAGGAGTACAGAGAGTGGGTTATTTACCCTAAAACCAACCCCGTCTGGTCCGTAAGGGACCACATCCCTGGGCAGGGGGTCACAGGGCTCAGGGTGGGGTGGGCAGGCAGGGGGGTTTCTGCCCCCTGTGCAGGTGTCTGTGCCCTCTGTGGTCACTGCGGGTGTGAGGGGCTGGCAGAGCACCCACCCCCTGGGCTGCACCCGCTCACCCGTGTGATAGCTGGGGATTATAGACACCATGTATATTAGTTGCGTAATAATAAATATAAATAATAATTATGTGTTTATATATTATTATACAGTATCATGTAATTTATATTAAAATATATAAAATATATTTAAATTACCTAATCTGCAGCTTCATAAATGCACTTACATATGTTCATTACATATATTAAAATACATATATATGCAATACATACATATATACATACAAATACGGGGTAAAGTGTTACATATATAAATAAATGCATAACACATAGAGAAAAAAATGTCTCACACGTATTTAAACACGCCCTTAAATGACAGTTCCTCACACACGTCTAATTCTTATCTGAGGCCAGAGGGAGCGCGCAGCCAATCACGAGGGTGCCTGCGATCACGTGGGTGCCCTGGTGTCACGAGACGGCTGCCAGCCAATCACAGAGCGGCATGACGTTTCACAAAATGGCTGCGCCCTTTCATAAGATGGCGGGCGAAACAAAATGGCCGCCCCCTGTGGACAGAGGAGTACGACCCGGTGTCAAAAATCCTTCCGAAATAACTCGTGGGCGGGGCGATGACCCTGCCAGCCAATCAGAACACAGTGCGCAGCAAGGCCAGCCCCGCCCCCAGGAGCTCTGGGCGGGGTCGGGTCCTGCTAGGGAGGGGTCTAGTCCCCCGGGGGGGGCTGTGCTCGCTCCGTGCCCCTCTCCGTGCCCGGGATGTACCCGCTCCGTGCCCCTGTCTGTATCCGGGGATCTGCCCGCTCCTTGCCCTGTCCGTGCCCCGGGGATGTACCCGCTCCATGCCCCTGTCTGTATCCGGGGATCTGCCCTCTCCATGCCCTGTCCGTGCCCCGCTCCGTGTCCCGGGGATGTACCCGCTCCATGCCCCTGTCCGTGCCCGGCCGACGCTGCCGCCCCGGGCTCCCCTGAGGCGCCGGTTTCGCTGCGAACGCGCGTGGGCCCCGCGGCGCCGGCCCCGCACGTTGTGCTCGGGTGCCCCGTCCCCCCCTCAAACCGGGGCTCGGGAGCCGGGCTGGCGCCTCCCGGGAGGCCGTTCCGGAACACGCTCCGGATGATCCCGGCACGGGGAGCCGGCTGGCTTTGTGCTGCCCCTCGGGGACCCTCGGGGTGCGCGGCTGTCCCTGCTGCTCTGGGGCACGGCCCCAGCACCGGGGGGCAGCTGCCAGGGAGCGGGGCCCGAGGCATGGCCCACCCGTGGGTGTTTGGGGGCAGCGTTGGCAGTGGTGTAAGAACCGGGAAAGGCTGGGAGAGCTGGGGTTGTCCAGCCTGGAGAAGAGCAGGTTCCAGGAGACCTTAAGAGCCCCTTCCTGTGCCTAAAGGGGCTCCAGGGGAGCTGGAGAGGGACTTTGGACAAGGGCCTGAAGGGACAGGACAAGGCAGAATGGCTTCCCACTGCCAGAGGGCAGGGATAGATGGGATACTGGGAAGAAATACCACAATGTGAGGGGTGGGGAGGCCCTGGCACAGGTTGCCCAGAGAAGCTGTGGTTGCCCCAAACCTGGAAGTGTCCAAGCCCAGGTTGGATGGGGCTTGGAGCAACCTGATCTCATGCAAAGTGTCCCTGCCCATGGCAGGGAGTGGGACTGGATGGTCTTTAAGGTCCCTCCCAACACAAACTATTTGATGATTCTTTTAAGTAGGAAAGTGTAGCATTAACGAGGCCGCTGAGTGTGCTCAGGGTTGGACAGGGCCCCTTCTGGCATCACCGGTCCCAGCTGCTGCCCTGGAAGGCACTGAGGGTGGCAGGGGGATCAGATCGGTGCCCCCTCCCCTGTAACGCCACTCAGTGCCAGCCCCATCACCCGAGGCACCGTGTCCTGAGCCCTGCAGGGCCCGGGGTCCCATCCCCATCGTGGTGAGTGCAGCTCCCCAAGGCTCTGCCTGTCCTGTCCGGGCGTCCCAGGGCCTGGTGGGTGGCAAAGGCACCTCTGTGCAGCTCAGGAGCCCTGAGGTGCTGCCTGAAGCCACTGAAAAGGCAGCAGAGCTGGGGGCACCATCTGTGCTTCACCCAGCTCTGACCCTCTGTCACTCTGCAGACCCCTGAGCTGGGCTGGCAGAGCCTGCCCAGGCTGAGTCCTGCCTCCAACCCCCCATTCCCCATGGGAATGTTCCCCATCCCACATCCCTCACCACAAGCACAAAGCACCAGCGAACCATGGAGGGTGGGGGACATCCCAGTGCTATTCCTGACACTGCAGTGGCCCAGGGGTTTCCCTGGAGCTGCAGCAGTGAGGCCTGGCTGGAGGCCTGGTGCCTCCATCCCTGCCCAGGGACCATCCAGCCCAGGAGTGAGGGGACTGCCAGGGCTGGGGCCAGCACCCACTGCAGCCCCACCATGGCAGGGAGCAGGGATCTCTCGCAGGGCATGGAGCTGGCATGGACTGCAGTCCTGGGTGTGCAGGGCTGGTGACTCCTGGGGCTCCCTGAGCCCCCCCTGCTGCAGTGCCTGTGCTGCTGACATGTCACAGCCCCCACACAGAGAACAGGACCCAAGGGAATGGCTGGAGCTGTGTCAGGGCAGGGTCAGGTTGGATAGCAGGAATAGGTTCTTCCCCCAGAGGGTGGCTGGGCACCAAACAGGCTCCCCAGGGCGGTGGGCACAGGCCCAAGCCTGACAGAGCTCAGGGAGCGTTTGGACAATGCTCTCAGGGATAGGGTGGGATTGTTGGGGTGTCCTGTGCAGGGCCAGAAGTTGAACTCAAGGAGCCCTTCCAGCTCAGGATCTCTGAACTGTGGCACCAGAGCAGAATCTTTCCCTGCCTGCTGTGGCAGAGCTGGTGGGAGCTGCTGCTCTGTGAGATCCCTACACGCCTCCCAGGGCTCCTGCCCCCTGATCTGTGCTGGCTTACCTGTCCCTGCCGACCAGGAGGAGGGAAGACAAACACACCAACTTCTGCTGCTGCCAAATGCTTCCCAGCTCCTGACACCGGGCTCACACCCTGTGGGAAGTGAGCAGATACACGAGTCCAAACCACAGTGGGATGGGCACAGAGCTGTGCCAGGCACTGGCCCCACATTCCCACCCCCATCAGTGTTCCAGCTCCAAAGCTCCTTTGGCTGTCAGGATGTGTGGGGAGAGCTGATGGGGGTGGAGGATCAAGTGAGGCACTCACAAATGACACAATCCAGTCTGACATACAGTTCATATTTTAAAAAAAACCAACCAAAACTTAAAAACCTTTTATTTGACAAATGAAAAATAAACAAAAAGGTATTTACAGTAGGGGGTTTTGTTCCTCCATAAATTTCATTCTAATAATCCCTGCTCTCCCCACCCTTCCCGGTCCATCCCACAGCAGCAGCACCAGCCCCTGGCACAGACACAGCCCTGGGGGAAGGAAACCATTTTGGTTTGACTGGGGCAAGACCAGGGGGAGGAGGCCAGAAAGCCTCTCCCTCCCTGGGTGGAGGGACAGAGCTGCAGGGGGGTGAACGGGTGAAGGGCTATCCAGAAACAAGGGAGGAAGTAAAAATTCAGGGTTTTCCCCAGACAGAAAACAGAGAGCAAAGGTTGGGGGTGAGGAAAGGGATGGCCACAGGCACATAATGGGCACCACTCACCTGACGTGGTGCCCTCTGCCCAGTGCTGGAGTCAGAGCCATCCCAGCACTGCATGTGGCCAAGGTGACACACCTTGGGAAGCCTCCCAACAGCCCCCAACAGCACTCGGGATCCCCTCTCCCATGGCACCTTCTTTCTGAAGAAAGGGAGGGTGGGAACACCAGTCCCCCAAATCAGTGCTTTTCCCTTTCAGCTCCATCACCCCCAGTGCTGCTCTCCCAGCACTGCTGGCTCCAGACACTGCATAGCACCAGGTCCTGCAGCCCTTCTCAGCTCTGGCCATGCAACTCATCAGGCCAATTACCTGTGATTAGTGCTTCACGGGACAGGTAGCACAGTGCATACACAGCACTATTAACTTACAGCTTAAAGGAACCAGCAGTGCCTGGGCCCTGGGACCAGCACAGCACCCAGGCACAGCAAGAGATGCCGAGCCAGGAGCTGCCCCAGAGCCCAGAAACCACCCCAGGCCAGGCTGGGGGTGCCTAACAGCTCCCAGCAGACACCAGTTTGGCACTAGAGGTCCCCAGCACGGCACAGCCACACTCGGAGAGCGAGAACGGGAGGGAGGGGACAGGGAGCAACAAATCCATCCTCGACCTTCCCAGTGCAGCTCAGCAGCACTTGGCTCATGAGGCATTGCTGCTTCCCAGGAGCCCTGGGCTGCACTCACTGAACACTCTGGCCATGCCCGCAACACACCCTTTCCAAAGGTTAAAAAAAAAAAAAAAAAAGGAAAGAAAAGAAGTTGGTACAAAATTCCCAGTCTCAGCTATGCTCAGCCTGCTGTCAGCACCTTGCAGGCTCAGCAATGCACTTGCTGCTCTGGACACGACGAGCACACATTCAGCAGGAACTCAAGGGAAACGTGGGGAAGTTGTGGAAATGCTTACAGATGAAAAAAAATTAATAATCATGTAATAAATCACAATTAAAGAGAAAATGTTTCAACAAAAAACTTGCTAAACAGCACCACAGAGATTTCTACTGACAGCATCCAGAATACCCTAAAATGGAAGAGGAGGGTCCCATTTTTTCCATGTGATAAAATACCAGAGACTCCATGTTTCCAGTTCATCTGTACTTTGCCCTTCTGTGGGCAAGGCAGGGCTCCTGGTCAGGACCAGGAATCAGAAAGAGCCCCCCAAAACAAAAGCGAAAAAAAAAGGGGGGAGGGGGAAAAGATCAGAGATTTATGAGAAAAAGCTTTTCATCCATAGTCCTTAAAATAAACACCAACACTTAAAAAAATAGGTTCTCTCTTTCTCTTCCTGAAAAAATGGTGCTGGCTGGACCCTTGTTTGCAGGAGAGAGGAAGAACTCAGCAGGTTTTTCAGGGGAGCTCCACAGTGATGGCTCTGGCAGCGTGGCAGGGACAGGTCAGCACTGCTGCAAAGGTCTGGTCACAGCTGTCACCTGGGGCACCACCCTCAGCAGTCAGCGCATCTCCCAGCAGGGGGGACAGTCCTTCTTCTCCCCTCCTTGGCTGACAAGAGAGACCAGAGACCCCTGGGAGGCCGGAGTCCACTTCTGGGATGGGCTGGTCAGAGGTGCACGAGGCCAGGAGAGTCAGGAACCCCCAGGGAAGGGCATCCAGTGGAACCTGGCCCAGGGGTTATTTGGAGGCTCCTGGGGGCTCGGTGTGGGGAGACAGGGGCAGCTGCCCACTCTGCCGCTGCCGCTCCAGCTCAGCCGCCTTCTGCAGAGCCACCTCCACCAGCAGCTGGAAGCTGCTGAAGTCATCCCCGAAGAGCTCGGGAGGTGTAGGGGGTGGCGTGTTGAAGAGTCCAGGGGTGGGGCTGGCAGCCTCAGCCCGCGCCAGCAGGGTCAGGGTGCTGTTGGGGGCACCCCCTGGTGCCTTGGGGACAGGGTCCAGCTCCGCTCGTGGCCCAGGGGGCTTCTCCCACTCGGGGCTGTGGGTGCTCACCACTGCCAGCGCCTGGGCCGGGTGGCACAGTACCTGCGGGCACACCGACATCGACAGCACCTTGGAGGCCCCCACGGGAGGGACCACCAGCACCCCGGAGCCAGCCCCCCGCGGCAGGGCCACGTCGCCGGCTTTGCCCCCTCGGCGGGAGATGGTGAACTGGTTGGGGTCCTTCCCGTCCTTGCGCAGCATGTCCGGGAGCAGCCGCCTCCGGGCATTGATGAACCAGTTGCAGATCTGGGAGGAGACAGGAACACAGTGGGGTCAACCTGGGGCTGCCACATGGGCACAGCGCTCACCGGGGGACTGCAGCCCCAGGTCAAGCCAGAAGCAGCTCCCCCAACCCAGCAAACAGCTCCCACACACCCCAACTACCACAGGTCCCCCCACTCAGCACCTCCTTCCCCTGAGGCTCCAAAGAGGCAGAACTACTGCTGGCACCCACGGAAACCCCAACACCAGCTGCTTCCTGCCTGGCACCACCATCCCGGCAGCCCCTTCCTCCCTGCACCCCTGTACCGGCTGCCCGTGGTGCAACGCTCCCCTCAAGCCCTGCCAGCCCCCCCTGCAGGGACTGTGCCCCCCCGGCACCGCTGGCACCTTCTCTCCATCACAGCACACAGAGTGAGTGCAGCCTGGGCAGCCTCGGGGCTCAGCCACCCCACAAGCCACAGCACGACCGTGTAGAGCCACAGGAGCTGCAGTGGCTCCTGAGCAGAACTGCCCCCCCAGGGAAGGATGAGCTCAGTGCTGAGCCCACAGCACAGCCTGAGAGTCCTGGCCCCTGCCTGTGCCCAGGTTCAGGCAGGTGGAGTGGGCACAGCTCCTGCCATTCCCCCAGCCAGAGAAATTGGCACTGCACAGAGCCAGCTCGGAGCCCACCCTGCAGGTCGCAGGCTGGGTACAGTTTTCCCTTCTCCGGGTGACCCATCCGGGAGCTCAGCGTGCCCAGCCATGTTTCCACACTGATGCCAGTGCCAACCTGGACAGGAACGCTGAGGCTGCATGGATGGAAACCCTGGAAACCATCCGCTGATGGAGCTGCAGCCCCCCGACCCCTAACGGGGCCGGGACTGTGGCTGCACAGACACCTTCCCATGCCTCCTGCCCACAAGCAGGGTCACAGCTCACGGCAAAGGTTCTTCCAAACGTTTGCACACCACAGAGGCTGCACCTCTGGTAGCTCTTAGGAACCTGCTGCCATGAATTCAGCCTCAGCCATTGATTGTTTCAGCATCTTTATATTAAATGCTACATTAAAATAACTGTCTTCTTCGTAGAAAACATTTAGAAGAGAATAAATCAGGGGGAAAAATGTCTCATCTTTTCTAAATCAACATCTATGGGAAACATTTCCCTCAAGGACAAAGAACTTGCCACAACTTCAATCACAGCAAGATTTCAGTTGTCTTTTCTCTGTCTTTTAAGACAATATTTGGCATTAAAACTCTCAAATACACCAGTCTCACTTCCTTTCTCCTTCCAAACCCCCTCCCTTGCAAGCCTTAGCTGGGTCCCCTTGACTTGATCCTGTGATCCCATGGCCATCCACCACTGTGATCCCTAACCAAAGGGCTGCACATCCAACAAAAAGCCTGACCACAGTGCTGGGAACTCCCCAAAACCCTGCCTGTCTCCCCCCACCGTGCTCCTTCCAGCATTCAATTCTCATTGGATCTCAACATAGCACAGAGATGGGCACACAACCACTGGTGTCACCATGTGGTGTCACCCACCCAGGAGCTGGGATATGCTCTGGCTTTGAAGCAGCTTATTGGTTTTTTAAGCACACCATGGGGTGTCCCCCTCCTTCAGCCCAACAGTAGATGGAGCTTTCCCACGACATCCTGCTGCATCCCCTCAAATGGACTGAAATCCCAGTGTCAGTCCTCAGCTGGCCCTGGGAACGTCACCAGGCTGGGACCCCCTGCCCAGGGGTACAGGGCAGCCCCTCAGGGACACATGCTGGCTGTGGTGGCCCACGGGGGCAAACAGCAGCCAGCACACGGCAAGGCCACACCTCAGCATAAGCCCACACATGTGCCAATCCCCTCCTGGGTCCCACGGGCTCAGGGCACAGACAGTGCCACAAGCCCTGTGGTAACACCGTGTGCCAGGCACTGCCATACCTCCTTGGGACAGGACGAGTCCAGATTCTCACAGCTGCAAACCCACTGCTGCTCCCCCACCACTCTGCCTCGAGCCCTCCCAGGAGCTCCAGCCTCTCCTGGGAGCAGTTGCTGGACACACACCTGTGGCACAGCACTTACAGAAATACATTAAAATTATTAAGCAAGTTTGCCTTGCTGGCCAGGAAAAAGGAAAGCAGACGGCCCTGCCTGCACTCCAGTGTCCGGGACGGCTGACTAGGACCGTGCTGAGACACGGGGACAGGAGCCAGAGGTGCAGAGGAAGCTCCAGGAGAGGAGTCCAGCTGCAAACCCACTGGCCCTCGCCCGCTCCCCTGCGCCCCATTGTATCCCTGGAACCACAGAACTGAGCGAAGCCCCGTTCATTTCCTCACTGCCAGGCTGGGAGAGGGAGAGCAGGACCTGGGGCACACAGAGCTGTGCACGGAGCACAGGGACAGGCAGCTGCAGGCAACTCTCCCAGACACTCTAACCACAAGCAGGGAGCACGCCAGAGCAGGAAGGACAAGCACTACTCACCCCCAGGGCTGGCCAGGGCTCCTGCCTGGGCACCCATCATGGTGCCACAAGGAGAACATCAGCCAGGAGCAGGACAAAGGGATTCCTAGGCAGGAGTCCCCACCTGGGGATGCACACACTCCCAACTCTAACTGGGGCCAGATGAGCCACCCAGTACCTAACAGTGCACCCGAGCTCAAAGCCCAGCCCAGCCTCTCCCTCCTGGGATGGTTAAAAATCATAGAATATGCTGAGTTGGAAGGGATCCATGAGGCTCATCAAGTCCAACTCCTGGCCATGCTCAGCCTCAGCACTGTCCCCTGCCCAGCTCTGTTTGCAGGGGGTGGTCACCCTGGCCTCTGCTGGATGTGTCCAGGGGAACAGGATAAAATAGCACCCCCCGAAACCCTCCTACCTGTGCAGCTTTTACTAACAACAGGGTATTGTTCAGCCTGTCCCCACTCCAGTCCTCACTCCATCTTCTGGCCAGCCAAAATTCTGTGTTGCAGCACTGCCATAGAGCTGCTCCCCCGGAGTTCAGATGTCTCCCCAAAAGAGACCCCATCATACAGATGGTTTTGCTTCCCCAACATCCCCTCCCTCATCTGCTCGCTGCCCTTCAGAGGCAAGTGGTCCCGGCGTGCCAAGTCCTTTGGGAGCCTTGGTGGGGTTCTCCCGTCCCATGCAGCGTGACAGTGGCCTCAGCATTGTTCCCAGCAGCGTCCCCAGCGGGTGGGGGCTGGCTCCTACCTGCAGCACAGAGAGGCTGGTCTGCCCCGAGAGGCTGAGCTTCTCTTGCTCCGAGGGGTAGGCGTTGAAACGGTGCTCGTACAGCCAGTCCCGCAGGATCTTCACGGACTCCTTGGGCAGGTTGCCCCTTCTCTTCCTCTTGGACTGCAGGGGGTCAGGGGACGTGGCGCCGTCCTCCTCCCCCGGGTCACTGTCCGACATGGTGGAGCTGCCCGCTGATCCCTTCTGGCTAAAGCCTGGCAAGAGGGAGCCAAAGGGAGCATCAGGCAGTGTCCGGCCAGGGGAATGGAGGGGGCCTCCCACCGATCCCCCACCCCCTCCAACGGAGGGGTCTCACGCCCTCTGGGCCCGGCGGGGGGGACCTGAATCCAGAGGCAGAGATCCCCGGGGGGGACAAGCGACTGGCTCCGAGGGGACAACAGCGGCGCCGAACAGAGCCCCGGGATGCGGGGGAGCCCCGCCTGGAACTCCGGGGCACTTAGGGTTCGGGGGACACTCGGGAGTAGGGGGGCACCGCAGGGGGCAAAAAAACAAATAAAGCGGGGCAGGGGGAGCGGTGAAGAGGAGAAGTTAAAAATAAAAATAATCTCAGCAGGAGAAAGAGGCCGAAGCTGGAGAGTGGGAGAGGAACCACGCGGGGTCATTGTGTGGCGGGGATGGAGGCGGGGGCGGCTGTCACGGGCCGGGGGCTCGGCTCGGCTCGGCTCGGCTCGGAGTGCGGTGCGGGGGCTCGGCGGTGCGGGCAGGCCGGGCCCGCAGCCCCTCCGGCCGCAACAGGTACCGCGGCGCCGACACAAAGCGGGGGAGCGGCAGTCGCGGCCCCCCCGGGCGCGGGGGGACAGAGGAGCCGCAAAGTGGCCGCGGCCTCGCACCCCGCACTCCACGCCGGCCCCGAGCACCCCCGGCCGGGCGAACTCCCCCGGCCGAGTTACAGCGGGCGCGGGGCGGGCGGGACCCCCCGCCCGCGGCTCCCGCAAACTTTCCGAGGCGGCGGCGCGGCCCGTCCCGCTCCGTCCCGCACAAAGCCGCGGGGCCGCCCCGCTCCCCCCGCGCCCCCCGGGATCCATCTTTGCGCTCACCCCCGCGCCGCCGCCGCCTGGGCGCTCGCATGGGCCGCGCCGGGCTCTCGGTGCCGGGGCCGGTGCGGGGCCGTCCCGCGGCGGCGGGCGGGCGGCCGGGAGCGGCGGAAAGTTTTGGGTGGGCGGCGGTGACAGATGCCGAGACAGAGTTCCCTTTGTTCCCGAGGAGGCAGGAACTCGCCGGGCCCCCCGCCCCCGGCCCCGGCCCGCCCGCCCCCGGCTGTCACCGGGCACCGGGGTCCCCCCGCCCCTCCGAGCCCCAGCCGGTACCTGGCGCCGGCAGAGCCCTGCCCGCACGGCCCCGCGGCCAGGATGGGGCTCGGCCCCCGCTCTCGGACACAGCCCCCGGCGGGAGCGGGGAGGGACAGAGGGAGTCCCAGAGACCCCGCGCCCACCCGGCCCTGCGGAACCCCCACACGGAGCTGCACCTGCACAGGGGCACCCACCCGAGGGTACCCCCGGGTACGCCCACCCGGGGACACCCACCCGGGGACACCGCACACGGACATCCACCTCGAGCCACCTACATTGGGACATCCACTCAGGGACACCCTCACAGGAACACGCACCCAGGGACACCCTCCCAGGGATACCCACCTCGGGACTCCAACACAGGGACTCCCATTCGGGGATACCCACCGAGGGACACCCCACAAGGCACTGCACGGGCTCCTTCCCCCCAGCTGAATCCTGTCACTGAGCCCTGGCGGGTTACTGGTGCCTGTGAGCAGGGGACAGGGACAGGCCCTGGGATAACAGCTGTGGGGGCAGGTGTGGGTGACAGCCCTGGGGACCTTGGATGACCAGGAGGCACTACCAGTGGTTTCTTTGGTGTCTTACCAGATAGGAAATCTGAACAGAAGCTCAGCACGACTGTTCCCATGACAGTGGAAGGTGTGTCCAAGCAAAGGTGGTGACCAAGGAGACACCGGGTGGAACCCTCACCATGCCATGGCCATGAGGCTTGGCCAGTTCTCTGGAAGCCCTTCTGGGCTGCCCCTGCTCTCCCTGTGCCTCACCACCATCACAGCAGAGCCTAAGGTCACCTTTTGAATTTTGGGGACCAGATCTCTCTGTTTACATGCAAGCCTGCTGGTGGTCTGGGATGTGGCTCCCACAGGATTTCCCCACCACAGCTCTGTGCCCTCCTGAGATGCAGGGCTAGGTCACCCCATCACCCTCTTCCAGGTGCTCAGCTGAGCCCAGACGGGACGTGTCCATCATGGACGCCCTGGAATGGTATCTTCATCAGTGGGAATGACTGATAGAAGAGCTGCTCTGAGCACCAGTGCCACATCCCAGCTCCTGCGATGGAGAAGTTCTACTACGGGAAGCCAAGATGACCTTGTCCAGCAGCCAGCCCAGAGGCCTGCCAGCAGAGCCCCCTGTCTTGGGATGTCCTCTTGGAAATGTACTTTTTGGGACATCCATTGCCCCTCCATTGCTCATCCTTGCCAAGCCAAGCCCCGCACATGTGTGTGCATCCCCCAGGGACCTGTGTGCTGGTGAGCACAACACCCCAAGGTCACCAGATCCTGCTCCATATCACCCTGGTGCAGGAATTGGTCTTGGGGCAGCTCCCCCCTCCCAGGCTCCCCCAACTCTGCAGGCTGTGCTGTGGCTCCCCTCACTCCCCTCTCTGCTGTTTGCAGGGTAAAAGATGGGGATCCCTTCAAGTATTGAGAAAAGCTGCAAAAAGCATTCATGGTCAGTGTGCACGGTGCAATAAGGGTTTAAATTTGGGGGGGGAAAAAAAAGAGAGAATTCCTTAAAGCGTTTGTTTAGTTGCTGCTAAATCTTCCGTGTCCTGAGGGAAACTGTGCCCCAACCAGCTTTTGCTCCATTAATACCAACAGAGCTGGGGCTGGTGAAGCACAAGTGAGGGGTGGGAGCCCTGGATGCACATCCCACCCATTGCAGGGTCACACCGGGGCAGGGAGCATCCTCTGGCCCTTCCAGTCCTCTCACACCAGGCTGGCTCCTGCCCACTCCGAACCAGAGCCATCACCAGGCAGGGGGTTCATCCTGCCTGCTCTCCTCCTGTGCAGCCAGTTCCTGGTGGGTGACACCGCAGACCCCCCAGATGCCCCCTGGACACCCCCAACACTCTGTGTCAGCCACCGTGCCCCAGGAGGACTATCATTCCAAGCAGTTTACTTCTGCTCCTGCCTTTTGGAAAAGGCTGCATTAGTCTTCTGCCAAATTGAGACAACCAGGAAATGAAACTGCTATGAGCCCCCTCAGGCCCTCCCACCTCCCTATGCTCCCTGGACTGGTAGTGTGGAAGCAGCTTTGGAAAAATCCCACTGGGTGTCTGAGTGCAGCATGAGGGCAACCTAAATCCCTGGGCAAGCCCAGCCTGGCACAGGATCCAGGGAGATCCCAGCTGATGGAAATGAGGAGCCTCTGGGATGAGGGGCCAGGGCAGGGGCTCTGGAGCATCTCCCTGCCCATTCCCAATACAAGCTTCTCCAGGCTGAGCCCTGCCCAGGCCCATTGACATGATAATACTATTAAACTTCAGCAATTTGAACAACAATCAGCCAGCAAGAGCCTGAGGGGAGATGCTGGAAATCCAGGGGAAGCTAGAACTCCCAGAGGGATGCTGGGAACCTCTGGGGGATGCTGGTGTCCCCAGGCAGCCTCCCAAGGCACTGACCCATCTTGGTCAGGATTCTCTCCATCCTTTGCCCACCCTGTGATACGAAAATTTTCATTCTGTGCAAGGAAAAAAAATGGATTGTGGTGGATTTGGGGTGGGCTGTACTGGCTTTTTGCTGCTGCCTTGCCCCTGGGGCTGCTGCATCCAGCAGTGGGTCCTGCTCCCTGCTCAGAGCCAGTGGACCCCTGCAGGCTGGAATTCCCCCAGTAGGACTGGGATTCCCCTGGGAGCTGCAGCACTGGAGTCCCACGTTTGGGCACAATGCCCCTCCATCTCCTCCTGCCCCTTCCCACGGGGAAGCTCAGCTGTTCCTGTTGTCCTTCCCAGAGCACAGGGCAGGACAGACCCTCTCTCAGCAGGTACTGCCATGCCCTTTGCTTCTCTGATGTTCCTCTAACCTGCATCATTATACATGGTGGTGCTCTGGGGACACCAGGATGGAGTTCACAGCACTGGAGAAAAAAAACACTCCTGGGTCAGGATGTCCTGGGCTGCACTGGGAGCAGTGTCACAGCTGCTGGAGGGAGGGGACTCTTCCCTCTGCTCTGCACTGCTGAGACCACCCCTGGAGTGCTGGGCCCAGAGACTGGGACAGACTGGAGAGAGTCCAGCCCAGGGCCATGACGGTGATGGAGGGACTGGAGCATCTCTGCCATGAGGAGAGGCTGAGAGAGCTGGGACTGCCCGGCCTGGAGCAGAGCAGGCTCAGGGGATCTCCCCTGTATGGATAAATACCTGGAGGGAGGATGCAGAAAGGACGGGGCCAGGCTCTGC